CCTTTGCTGCCAAGTAATCTGATTATCCAATGGCGTTGCTTTCTAGAAAATCACGATTCTCGTTGTGCTTCCTCTCACCCACAGCCATGGAGCTGAAAAAATCCAGTCTACTATATATGTGGTTGTAGCGTTCATCAGTGAACACAAATCTGCCCGTTGTAATTGAACAGTATTCCACATTTTGCAAATCAGGCACGTGCCGAATTGCCTTTTACGGCACTCGTACACCACCACCACATTTCGCACACCGTTATCAGTTTCTTTTGTGTGGTGGAGGCAAACTGCCCGTCATCCGCATGCATGTGACCGGATCAGGCTCATGATGCACCGCACCGCAGGTGAACCTATCTGCCTTCAACATTTAACCCTGCCCCTCCAAGTGACTTTTGTGAATACCCATGAGATTGCATCTGCTGGGAGAGGAATATTGCCAATGAATTCTATTTATTCCTTGTCGAAGCAACCATTCTGCCCTGAGAGTTTTTTGTAGTGCAATTCGACTACCCGTCCCATAGACGAGATCCCTTGAGCCCCGTGACCGCGACCCGTCCGTCCCGTCTCTCATTTCCCCTCCCCACAGTGCAAACTCTGATTTTCGTGTGGCTGTGAGCTGGCTTCGAAGGGTGGTTGAGCTCAGCAGCTAGCCTACTGACGCCGCCAACGCGTGGCTCCGCTCCGCTCAATCCGTCATTCGAGTCGAGACTCGAGAGTGTCACTGTCAAGGGCAGCGCCAGGCAAATCTGGCGAGAAAAGGGGAAAAAAAGTGAACTGCTCCCTCCGCCACTCCCTTGCAGATGGCCTCCGCGCCTGTGTTCCAGCAATGCATTTTCCGCCAACTCCACACGGTTCTCCCCCAACTTTCCCCCAAATTCCCCTTTTTCCGCCACCCTTTCCCCCACTTTCCCAGCCCCACAGACCCCAGCGGCCCACCTTCATCCCACCCACCCAACCGCTCCAGATACAAAGCCCCCCTCGCTCATTCAATTCCTCAGTCACTTGCAGCTCACTCATTCACTTCTCTTTAGCGTTTATCAGAGCGGCAACAGGCTCATCTCAAGCTTGGGCTCGGCCCGTCACCAGCGCAGGCGCGAAGGCACAGACAGAAGTCATGGCTACCGCTGTCTCCTCTGCCTTGCTTTCCGGCTCCGCAGCGGTCCTCGACCGCCGGGGAGCTAGCGATGCGAGGGCTTCCTCGCTTCGCCCCGCCACTTCGTCGGCTGCTGCTGGTTCCGCCGTTTCCCTGCTTCCCTCGTCATCACGTCGGTCAAGAAGCCTCAACCGTCTGGCTGCGCGCGCGTCGGCTTCGGACTCATCATCTGCAAGCGGTCCGCTCGTCACCGACAGGAGCCATGGCGTGCTCTCCGGCGAGTGGGACAAGAGCGTGTCGCTCCTCACGTACGAAGATCTGTCGCATCACCTCCAGAACGTTCTCATCCGCGGATTGGTCGAGGACTCCGAGGCGGCTTCCGCCGAGCCGGTTCCTCTGACGGCCACTAGAAGACACGGCATCGTGTCCGGCGAGTGGGACAAGAGCGTGTCGATGCTTCACTACGAAGACCTCTCGACTTACTTCGAGGCGACGCTCGTGCAGGGTCTGCAGGAAGACGCGGAGACGAATTTCGTGCCGCTCGAGGCGGACCGGTCGCACGGCGTCGTATCGGGCGAGTGGGACAAGAGTATTTCGATTCTCAGCTACGAGGACCTTTCGCAGCACCTTCTTGAGAGCTTCCCCGCGGGCTCCGCGGCTCCCGCGCCGGAGCAGGTGGTGCCGCTGATGGCGGATAAGAGCCATGGCGTTCTGTCGGGCGAGTGGGACACGGGCGTGACGTACCAGAGCTACGAGGATGTGAAGTTCCATATCCAGTCGAAGATGGTGAAGGAGCGCCGTGCGAATTAGTTGGTTCGTCTTAAATTAACTACCATAATCTAGTCGCACGTTTGCGATGCTCTCGTCCAATCAGCCGATAATTCTGCCGCCTGCTCCGGCAGGACCTAGTCTGTTCACGTGTGTAAATGTCTCAAATGTCAATAGAGGTGGGTGGGAATTTGATGCGGTGTATAACACGCGTCCGCTCTGTATCTGGCTTGCATGGAGTACCGTACCTTTTTCGCCACAAATCTAATATCTAGTCCAGAAGAAAAACCGCACTCAGTGTGACGTGAATTGGGGCGTGTATACCGTAATTGGGATGAGGGGAAAAAACAATGGAAATGAGTTTTCATTGTACAGTACCCGAGTTGGTAATCTTGGTTTGGGAGAACTGGGTAGGTGCTTTCAGAATGACTCAACTACCACATCTCTGGCTTCAAGCTCTAATGTCATGTTGATAAGATACTATACCCAGTGTACTGAAGCCATGTGGGAATTGTATGGTATCATCAAACCAATGCAACTCTTGTGGATCTACATGGTATCGGGTCACTGTTTCAGCCCATGGCTACCTAGCTACCATACCATATTTCCTGCCTGCCCAGTGCAGGAACCTCAAAACACTCAAGATTTGTTTATGCACAAAACACAACTTGAATGTTTCTGCAGTGTACACTCCACCCACGGCACATGACGCTACCCAGCTGGAGCAGGCTGGAGAGTGTACTGATGGTGCAGGGAGATCCTATTGCGCACCTCCTCTCTCTCCCTGTTCACCAGAGCCACCTGCCTGTGGGAGGCTGTGTGTGGTGCTGTCTGTGCTGTGTGGGGTGGCATGTGTGGCCCACGTGCTGTGCCCGGACGTTGTTGTTGTTGCTGCTGACTGTGATCCTGCTCTTGCAGCTCATACTGCTGCTGCAGCAGGTGGTTTTGCTGGGCTTCAGTGAGGAGCTGAAGCAGCTCCCGTGCCTGCCAGCACAGTCAAGCAATGGATACATGTGAGGATTAGAAGAGCAGTGGATGGGAATGCATGCTAGCCGTGTGCTGAATTGTAAAAAGGAACGGACACTGTGTTACCGTAAGTGCATGTTTGTGTGTGCGCGCGCACGCACGCACGCGTGGATGTACACGGATGGATCATGCATGTGCGTATGTTGCATGTGCGTACGCAGAAACTCATGCTCCTGCTCACCTTCCTCCTGCCTCGTTCAGTCTGCCCCCTCCCCTCCACCATCCTCCCCAGCAAAGCTTCCACCCTCAACCCCACCACCTCTTCCCTCCACGACTCCCTCCCTTCCGCCGCCACCAGCAGCAGCGTCGTCACTGCCGCCTCCCTCCCAAGGCTCGACCCCTCCTCAAGAACCCTCCGCATTCCAGCAATCCCTCCAGCATTCACAATCGCCTGTCGGCCTTCCCCTGCTGCTGCCAGAGACGCCAACAGAACTGCACAGTCCTCCACCAAGGTTCCCCGCGCGTCGTCCCTCTCGCAAACGGTGCTCACTATATGGGGTACGATTCCCGTCGCCACAATCAGCAGCTTGTTCGGGCGGTAAATGGAAAGGTAATAGAGCGCTCGCAGCGCGATGATATGCGCAGGGAGGGAGGAGGGGGAGGGAGGAGGCGAGGGCTGCAGGTGGAAGGAGAAAGAAGTGGAAGCGGAGGAGTGAGAAGAGGAGGCGGAGGAGGAGGGCGGGCAGGTGAATATGAACACAGTGGCAAGAGACGGAATGGCTCCGAGCCTTGCAATCTCTTTCTTCATATCGTTGTTCTTGGCCAGGCTGAACAGCACTGCTGCTGCATGCTCCTGGATGGTTCGGCTGGCTGACTCACTGAATGTCACATGGGCCGACGCTGCTGCCTCTGCTATGGGCCTACTCCTGGATGGTGCGTTGCTGCTGCTGTTGCTGTTGCTGTTGCTGTTGCTTGCTCTGCGCTGGCTGCTCCTGTTGCCCGTCGTGGTGGTGCTGTTGTTAATGTTGCTGCAGTCCCATCCCCCCCCTTCCCCACTCCCACTCCCACCCACATTCCCCTCCCTCCCCCCACCACTACCCACACTCCCCCCGCCACCCCCCGCGTGCCACACCATACACGCACACGCATGCTCTAACAGCTCCACAACAGGACAAACGGCGCCGGCCGCCTGCAGCAGCCTCTGATTCACATCCAGGATGGAAACATTCCGAAGCGCAGCAATGGAGCTCTCGACCAGGTCCGGGAGCTGCCGAGCCTGCGTGAGAGCTAGGAGCGGCGGGATCCCTCCAGCTACGGTTATGTATTCCCGCCAGCGCGTGCTGCGGCGGGAGAGGTGCCTCAGCAGCTCGCATGCTGCTAATATGCCCACTGGGTCGGCCTTGACCATTTCCTCTTTTAATAGTTCCACTGGGTTCATGTTCATGCCTCCGCCACCGCCGCCACTGCTGCTGCTGCCCATGCTGGCGGCAGGAGCCGCAGCAGGAGTGGCAGTGGGGGCGGCAGCAGGAGTGGCAGTGGGGGTGGCAGCAGTAGTGGCAGCAGCAGTGGCGGTGGTGAGAGCAGCAGTGGTGGTTTCTGTGGCGGACGCAATGGCAGGAGAAGAAGAAACAGCAGGAGGGGCAGGAGGAGCAGCAGGAGGAGGGGCAGAAGGAGCAGCAGGAGGAGGGGCAGGAAGAGCGGCAGGAGGAGGGGCAGGAACAGCAGCAGAAGCGGTGATGGTGGCAGTGATCCTGGGTGTGGTGGTCGCAGCACTGTTGCCTTGAGCGCTTGCAGCAGCAGCAGCTGACGCAGCACTGGGGTTAAGCGCGTTGCTTCCGGCAATGCCAGAGCCCGCAGCAACATCAGCAGCAGCAGCAGCAGCAGCAGCAGCGGGAGGAGAGTATGAATCAGGAGCATCAGCAGCACCAGCTGCAGCATCAGCAACAGCAACAGAAGGCCTGGAGTGTCTTTTACCCATGGCAGCAGATGCAGAGGACAGAAAGGCTCCTACCCTGACCCTGCACCCTGACCGTACACCCGACCCTGACTCCGAACCAGATCCGTCACTCCCGTCCGAACCTGAACCACACGCCCATTTACCCGACCTCCCAGAACCCTCTCCATCCTCTCCTCTCCTCCGTCCCCCTCTCTTCCCCACACACCCCTTGTCCTCCTCCAAACCATCACTACTTGTGTCACGCTCAACCACCTGCCTGGCAACCACATCCATACCGTGGCTCCCGCCTTCCCTTTCACTCTGCTCTGGCGCTGCCCGCATTTTTGCCTCGTCCTCAGCTACCCTCTTTCCCATGTGCCGTCCAGCAGACGTCTGCCGCTGCAAAGCACGAGGCACCTCAGAAGGGGTCATGTGAGGCGCCTCAAGAGCCCCCACCGTCTCACCCAGCTCCTGACCCTTTGCCTCTTGTCGTCTGATGGACGTCTGCCGCTGCAAGCCCCCCTGTTGCGCCCACTGCCCTTCCCCTGCCGCACTGGCAGCAGGAGCAGCAGCATCAGCAGTGGCAGACGACGCCTTTTCCTCCTTCCTGGCCCTCCCCCCACTGCCTTTGCCCCATCGAAGCCCTGACACTGGTGATTCGGCAACAACAAGAGCTTCAGCTGCTGCTTTGGAAGCATCTTGGACCACTGGTGGGCAAGAAAGGGAAACCTGGGATGCAGCAGGCTTACCAGCACTGAGGGACGGAGCAGGCGTGACCATTGGTGGGTTGGAGGGAAGAACAGACGGGCGGGCTGATCGCTTGGTAAGAGAGGGAGGGGATTGGGAGGCGGTTCGTGGGGTGGGGACGGGTGGGGGCCGGCTAGGGGACCATTTCGGCGTTATTGGTGGTGCTGATGATGATAATACAGCTGATGACCTAGCTGGGGATGAGGTTGATGATGGGGATGGGGGGGATGCGGTCTGTGAAATGGCTAGTGTTGCGGTTTGAGGGTGTGAGGAGGATAGTGGGGTGCTGAGAAGAGGTGGTGGTGGCAGGGGGAAGAGTCCGTTTGAGGTAGAGGAGGTGGTGCTGTGGCTAATAGGCGGAGGCTGGATCGAAGAAGCAGGTGCTGCTGCTGATGGTGATGGTGATTGTGATGGTGATGGTGATGGTGATGGTGATGGTGATGGTGATGGTGATGGTGATGGTGATGGTGATGGTGATGGTGATGATGATGGTGATGGTGATGGTGATGATGGTGCAGATGAGTGGTGGTGACGAGGCGGACCGGTGGTGGCAGCAGGAGGAAGCGGACGAGGAGGGAGAAGAGCAAAGGAGGGGAGGTTGGAAGGGAGAGAGGACGTGGGGCGCAGGAGGGCGATTCTGACTGGTTTGGACTTAGAGGCTTGGGGTTTGGAGGAACGGATCAGGGAGAGAGCAAGAGGGTGGGGAGGCGAGGGAGCCGGAGAGTGGGCAGGAGAAGGAGCAGGAGAGGAGGAGGGGGAGCGAGATGTGGATATGCGAGTGCTTGGGTTTGCAGGTCGTTGGTAAGGCCTGAATCGTCTCAGGATGGGTTGAGAGTCTGGGCTGCTGCTGCAGCTGCTGCTGCTGATGGTGCTGACGCTGGTGATGCTCTGACTGTCCTCATAATCAGCAGCAGCAGCAGCAGCGGCGGCGGCGGCGGCGGTGGCGGCGGCGGCGGCGGCAGCAGAAGCAGCGGCACGACCCAAAATATTATCAGCATCAGCATCAGCATCAGCATCAGCATCAAGGCGAAACGCAGAGCCTCTGCTACCTCCAATCCTCCTGCTGCGCATCTCCTCATCCCCACCATCTCCCACCTCCACCACCCCATCTCCCACCTCCACCACCCCATCTCCCATCTCCACCACTCTATCTCCCATCGGCTGTGGTAGAGATGTATCAGCAGCATGAGCATCAGCAGCAGCAGCTGCGGCAGCAGCGGCAGCAGGTGGCGTTGATGGCAGGTGCAGGTTACCTATGTTGGCTATAGACAAACATATCGCCGCCACTGCTGCGGTTGCTGCTTCCGGTGAAGGAGAAGCATCGAGCTGGGCAGCAGAAGCACGATCCGCGTTAAGAACGTCCCCTCCAGTAGGCATTCCAATACTGAAACGATTGCTTTCACCACCGCTACTTACACTCCTGCCACCACCACTGCCACCGCCACTGCCACCACCACTGGCTCCACCACTGCCACTGCCACTAACTGTACTGACATCACAATGTAAAGAGCTTTCACTCCCCTCCTCTTCCGCCTCCACCGTCCCTCCTCTCTTTCTCACTTCCTCTCTCACCTCCACACTTCCCCCACTCCTACTGCTTATACTTTTCCCTCCCCCAATCTCACTCCTCCCTGTTCTCCCTCCTTTCGCAACCAGCACTCCACCCACACCACCAGCACCAGCAACAGCACTAGCATCAGCAGCACCACCACCAGCACCACAAGCACGACCACCAGAAGCAGCAGCAGAGCAAGCCGCTGCGTGCCACTCGTCCCCGTCCCTCCCAGATCCGCTCCCCCATCTGATCCCCGCCACTCGCACCACACGCACCCCCAACCCCCCCATGCTCCCCCGCTCCTCCAAGGAATGCCCCCGTTGCAGCACCCGCGCCTGCTGCTGCTGCTGCTGCTGCTGCCTCCCGGGGGGAAGAGGCAGCACATACCTGCCTCCTGCCCGCCCCCACTCGGAATCTTGAGGCGCCGCCTCAGAAGTGTTTCTGGGGGGGAGAGGCAGCAGGTACCTGCTTCTGGTCCGCCCCAACTCTGATTTTGATAGCCCTGTCTGCTCTGCTTGCCCTGCTTGCGCTGATTGCACTGATACTCCTCCCACTCCCCGTCCTCCTCCTTTTCCTGCTTCCCTACTAGGATCACTCGCATCAGCATCAGCATCAGCATCAGCATCAGCATCAGCATCAGCATCACCATCACCGACACCAACCCTATTCACTCCACTCCCATCGTCCCCTTGTGCGGCTTCTCGCTCCTCTCTTCCCATCATGCGCAGGGCACCACCCACATCTCTCGTCCCTCTCCTTCCATCCACTCGCTCCTCCCCACTCGCCTTCTCACCCCCACCCTCACTACCACTGTCACTCCCAATACCACTACCACTACCACTGCAACTGCCACTGGTGCTGCCAACGCCACTCCCGCTCCCGCTCCCAGAACCACTACCATCACCATCGCTGCCCTTGCGCCCAGCACTGCCTCTATCATGCTTCAAAACTTCTTGCCCAGACCCCGTTCCACCCCACACCTGTAGCCCTTCTCTGCCCTCCCTCCCTCCTATCCCATCCCCTTTTTCCCCTCCTTTCACCTCTTCCCTCCTTTCCCATCCTTCCGAACCCCCCCATCCTGCCACCCCTCCAACCTCTCTTAACCTCTCATACCACTCTCCCTCCGAAACACACCTGCTCAGACCCCCCACCCTTCCCTCCCATCCTCTCCGCTCTCCTCTCCCCTCCCACCCCCTCTCCTCCCCCCCCACACTCCCCCCTTCACTCTCCCCCACACCCCCGCTTTCACTCCCCTCCACACCCTCGCCTTCTCTCTCCCCCACTCCCTCTTCCCCCACCAGCACCTGTTCCAGATGCTGCTGCCGCTGACTGGCAGTCCTGACTAGGAGATCCATAATACAGGAAGACACCACCACTCTGTGTACCACCTCGCCTTGCCCCATCACACCCACACCTTTCGCACCAGCAGCACCACCAGCAGCAGTAGTAGCAGGAGGAGCAGCAGCAGACAAGCCAGAATTCGGTGGGGTGGTGGCGGTGCCACTGTCAGCACCAGTAGGAGCAACAACCGTCGAAGCAGGGACAGAAGAAGCAGTGAGAGTGGCGAGAGCGGGGTTGGGATGGCAGCTCATGTTGCTTCCCTCCGACTCGGTCCAGAAGCTTCCACTCTCCTCGCTCACAAACTCACTGTTGCTCGCATCCTCATCCTCCTCCTCATCTTCCTCCTCCTCCTCCTCCTCCTCGTCCTCATCCCCTTGCTCTTCCTCCTCCTCCTCTTCCCCTTCCCCCTCCTCATCCTCTTCCTCCTCCTCCTCCTCGTCCTCGTCCTCTTCCTCTTCATCCCCGTCCTCCTCCCCGTCCTCCACTTCCATTTCCCCATCATCCTCCTCATCATCCTCGTTTGTGTCCTCCTCGTGTGTCTCCTCGTCCCCAAGCATCACTGTATGAGTTGACTTTTGAGTTGACTCAAAAGTCAACTCCCCGTGTGTCTCCTCATCAGCAAGCATCACTGTATGGATAGCCATACTCCCTCCGCTCACTTGCTCCTCATAATCTTCCCTCTCCTCCAACCCACTTTCTCCCTCCTCCACCCCTTCCTCTCTCCCCTCCAACCCTTCCTCTCTCCCCTCCAACCCTTCCTCTCTCCCCTCCACCCCACCCTCCCTCTCCTTCACCCCACTCTCTCTTTCCTCCGCCCCACCCTCTCTCCGTCCCATCGTATGCTCCTCAAACCGTCTCCTATACCCAGCCCTCCTCTTATCTGCCTCCCACGCACTCCGCCTCTCCTCCCCTCTCTTCCAAGCAGGGCTCCCCACATCACTATTGCTCCTCACAAATGCAGGCGTCAGCAGCGGCAACCATTTCTCGCCCCCTCTACCGTCCCCCCCCTTACTGTCACTCCCCTTGCTCCCTCTGCTCCCTCTGCTCCCCTTACTGTCACACCCTTTACTGTCACTTCCCCGGCTGCCAAAGCTGTCGATATGGAAAGAGTCGTCGTCGTCCTCTGTGCCGATCCGAAGGCCGAGAGCCAGGCGGAAGGGGTGCAGGGAGAGGGAGGGCGCAGAGGCATGGCTTGAAGAACCAGACGCAGCAGGTTTACCGCTCTTACCATCACCATCACCATCAGCATCAGCATCAGCGTCACTATCAGAATCAGCATGATCTGAATCATCAAAACTATCGATGGAAAGAAAATCGGCATGAGCATCGTCAACCCCTCTCCCATCGGCGGCAGCAGACGCAGCACCAGCAGCAGCAGCAGCGGCGGCGGCGGCGGTGGTGGCTGTACCAGCGGCAGCGACGGTTGTTTTGGAGATTGCGAGAGGGTGGATGAAAGGGGAGTACATGGGAGGGGTGGGCTGGATGCTAGCAGGCAGAGAGCGGCCTCGAGTGGGGGGCCGGCATTGAGACCGCAGCGCAGCACCTGCTATGTTCCTTGGATAGTGCTGCTGCCCGCGGTGGTGGTAGTTGTGGTTACCACTAGAAGCACGCGCACCGGAACTACCATCCCCATAACTATCATCAGCACCAGATTCATAGTCCTCCGTATTGGCAGTATGGAGGGTGGTGGTGCTGGTGGGATGGATGGTGGGGGATTTGAGCAGCTGAGGCATGTCGTAGAGTGCTTGCTTCTCCTCCTCCTCCTCCTCCTCCTCCTCCTCCTCCTCCTCCTCCTCCTCCTCCTCCTCCTCCTCCTCCTCCTCCTCCTCCTCCTCCTCCTCCTCCTCCTCCTCCTCCTCCTCCTCATCTTTCCATGCGTACACCCCTTGCTGCCTGCTCTCTGCTCCTTGCTGCCTCCCTCCTTGCCACCCCTCCGTCTTATCTTCTTCTTTTCCTGCTTCTGCTTCTTCCCCCTCCTCCCCTCTGCTGTCCGCCAGACGTTCCGTGTCCATTGCCCCTCTGCCTTTATATCGAGCCCCGAACACCCCTCTCTCATCTGCCACTTCCTGAAATGTCCTGCTAAAACCCCACAGCCGCTCCTCTTCAATCCTCCCCCGCTCTCCCAATCCCTTACCATATCCTCGCATCTCCCCTTCAAGCTTCATCACCTCACCTTTCCCTTGTCCTTGCCTCGCCTCCCCTCGCTCCCTCTCCTGCTCCCTCTCCTGCTCCCTCTCCTGCTCCTGCTCCTGCTCCAGTTCCAGTTCCCTCTCTCGCTCTCGCTCCCACTCCTGCGCCCTCTGCTGCACTCTCTCTGCGTGATACACCTCCCACGTGTGCTGTTGAAGCATCTGTCCTTCCCACTCCCTCACCTCTCCTTCCCCTTGTCCTTCCCCTGCCTCCTCTCCTTCTAGCTCCTGCTCCAGCTCCCGCTTCCACTCCCTCTCCCGCTCTTGCTCCCGCTCTTGCTCCCGCTCTTGCTCCCGCTCCCGCTCCCTCTCCCGCTCCTGCTCCCTTTCCTGCGCCTGCGCCTGCGCTTGCTCCCGCTGCTGCGCCCTCTGTGCGTGATACAGCTCCCACTTGTGCTGTCTCAGCATCTGCCAATGCATCTCTGCAGCAACCATCTGACTCTCCCCTGTCCCTAACCATCCCATTCCCCCCACACCATCCCTACCACCACCACCAGCACCAGCACCAGCACCACCACCACCACCACCACCACCACCACCACCACCTCCTCCTCCGCCGTCCCCGCCTCTGCCATCCGCACTGCTTTCCCCAAGCCCCATCGTCTCCCTCCCAAAGCTGCTGATACCTGCTCCTGGTGCTGCATCAGCATCAACAGTAGCATCAACAGTAGCATCAACAGTAGCATCAACAGTAGCTTCAGCACCAGCAGCATCAGCAGCAGCAGCGGCAGGATCATTATCGTCAGCAGCAGCAGCACCACCACTGACACCCCTGTCACCAGCAGACGCACTTCGAGCAGCACCAATGCCGCTGCTGCCGCCACCGTTGCTGCTGCTGCTGTTGCTGCTGCTGCTGCTTGCATGGCTGCTGCTGCTGCTTGCATGGCTGCTGCTGCGCCATGCCAAGCCCACGCCCACGCCCACGCCCACGCCCACAACCCCCGCTCCTGCCAAGGAGGGTCGCGAGCTCTCAGCATAGCCACTACTGCAGTCTGGCCTGCTGCTAGGGCTCGTGTCGCTGCAAGCACGCCTAGCGCGATACCTCGGGCTATGCTCGTCACTACGTTGCACAGTTTGCGTCTCGCGTTGCGCTTCTTGCTCCCCGCGCTGGCTACCCTGCCGTGTGCTGAGCTGCTGCCGTAGGTAGTATTCACTTCCGCTTCCTCCGCCACCTCCTCCGCCACCTCCTCCGCCGGCGTTCCCCTCTTCACTAGAAGGCGCGAGAGAGGCCTTCTCCGCCGTTTCCTCCCCCTCCTCCCTCTGCGCCTCCCTCCCCGCCACCGCGTTCCGTCCTCTTCGCTCTCTGTATTCACCTCCCCCCCACACGGGTTGCGCCATGTATTCGCGGGATATGGCGCGCGCGGACGGGCTTGCGGTAGCGCGCGCGGAGAAAGACGTAGAGCGCGGGGAACGGGCGGAAGAGTGCGGGGAGATGGCGGACGAGTGGGGGGGAACAGCGGTTGAGCGGGAAGAGACGGCGGAAAGGAGAGAGAATGAGCGGTTGATGTTGGTTGGGGAATCGCGGGTATCATATATAGAAGATTGTCGGTAACCGGGATGATCCTCAGAGGTGTGCGCTTCGGAAGCGCCGATAATGGCGGGTGGTACGGAGTAAGGTGACATGCCCCAGTTTCCTTGTGAAGCAGCCATCGTGGCCGTCGCCGCCGCCGGCGCCGCTGCTACCGCAGAAGCCGCATTAGCCGAGGAGGATTCGGGGATGGCGGTGGAGAAAAAGTGTTCCCGCCGCGCATAAATTGCCGCTGCGATCGAAGCCGCTGACGTGGCAGGAACGACGGCGAGGCGGTCAACACCATAACCGCCATCGCCGCCGAGGATGCTGCTGTCGTCATCTTGCGAGTAGCTGACATCAAGCAACTCGCCTTCCTCCCATGGCTCTTCTTCCTCCTCCCCGTCCCCCACCACCCACGGGCAAGACTCGCGGCCGCCCAGCAACGGGAATCGGCGCGCTGTGATGGTTACGCCGAGGCGCTCCATGAGAAGCTTCCTACAACGAGAGGTTGACGAAGCGAGGAGGAGAGAAGCGAGCGAAACTGGGTCGATTCGACATGCTGATTAGAGCGATTTTAATTCTTGATTCAATCCTGAATGAGCGAGCCGTTCGTTCCAATTTCTATTCTCCGTCGTTAGAGACGTGACGAACTTTTGAGAAGAGAGCGCGGTTCGCGGACAACGGGCCAGCGGTTTTTCTCGCACATCTCGTTTCTATGGCGCTTCGAAACACGATGACGATGGCGAACTAGCCTTGCCCGAAGTAACACTGCAGGTTTGTTCCGAGTCGGCTCTAAAGCACTACTGGACGACGGCTGCTGCTATGTCGCGAATTCGCGGATGGCGGCAGCAATATTTCCAAGGACAGACGAATAAGCGAACTATCGAGCGAGTAAACGGACGAGCAAATGGATCAATGAAAGAATGGAATGGAGCAGCACGAGGGCCACGCTATGATATCATTAGGTGCACCGCTACTGCTAGCCATAGTAGTTTGTGAATCCAGAGCGCATAAAAAAGATTACAGCTTAGTGTGCGTTGCGAAAAGTCAAGCTTTGCACTTCGAAAGAATGGGATGGGATCATTTGAATGTGGCATTTGTGGTGAAGGTGGTTGCATGGGCGGGAAAATGGGTCGGGAGGACTGGGGGAAGGCGGACGGAGGAAGGGGGGGAGGGGAAGAGGGAAAGGAGTTCTGGCTGGGTGGCCTGGGCCAGCCAGCCAGCAAGCAACACCACCGCATGCCTTGAGTGAGTGAATGACCAGAGTCGGTCCACTACACATGAAGGATGGTAGGAAAGCAGCATGTGAGTTGTGTTGTTGTGATAATTCCACAAATCCGTGACGGAATGAGAAGCATGGCCGCGTTCCGCTCATCTCGGCTGGTTTCCGCAGTCATCTGCAGCAACCGCGTCTCGACGGCATGAACTGCAGCCTTGCGATGCGAATCTCGATTGTTGCAATCGCCCGTGCGATGCAGTGCGGTGTACAGTGAAATCGTGTTGTCGCTGACGGGGAGCTTTGGCAGCGCTGCGAGTTCAGCTGCTTGCTGGATTGCACATCAAGGGGAGGAGCGGGAACCATCCCTTTCAAGCCAACATGGTTCAGCTGCTTTCCCAACCGCCCAAATTGCACCTCCGCACGAAGTCACTTTTAGAAAACACTTCACATGCTGGTTTGTTCCACTCCTGCAAAACCTGTTGCACATACGTTCAGCATACATCGTCTTGTTAAACCTGATATACACTTTCTTTTAGTGGGTGAGTTGTGTGACGAGGAGCATGTTCACCTCACCGCCGTCGGTCCCCACCACAGCAAAAAAGAAAACGTGGCTTTGGGATAGTCAAACTGATTGTGCACCACACGATGCGTACGATGACGGCCCTTCGCGACAAACATACTTGCTGAGCAGTAAACACCACTTGCATCGCGCGCTCCGAGTTTCACCAACCCCGCCATTTCTCGATTTCAACCATTCTTCCTTTGTCGGCAGGTTTATTTGAAATGGCCGTCCGAACCCAGCAGTAGGCAGGTCAAGCAGCTTCAACGTTCGCGCGCGTTTTGCAAAACGAATTGATGTGAAAACTCTTGCAGAAAACCAGCTGGAAGCAAAATTAGCTGAAACACTCAAAACAGCAGTTGGGCAGCTGCATTCCACCACTTCGACAAACTCCAAGCAAAACCAAAAATCCCATCGGAGGAGTGCTTGAATTTCGTTGACCCTGGTCATACTTGGTGTATTCAATAGTGACATCCAATTTCTTGACTCAATACACTTTCAACTGACAGAATACACACAGAGGAGCTCCATTTAACCTCTAGACAGTGCACAGCTAAAAATCACCTGACCATTTGTTTTCGAACATTCACCTTTGCCAGGTATCAATCCAACCATATTGAGCCAAAAGCTGGCCTCAACACTCCTTTCAAAAGCTCCCACCAATCAATGCTAACATATAGGCACTCTTGAGAAACCATGGGCAGTGCAACACATGCACATACCAGAAATAGGTGCGACCGCCAACATTTAAAAAATAACCGCGCTCCGTCCATGCTTACACGTGAAACAGCTTCACCACTTGCTGAATCTCCGCACGGCACACAGGGCAGCCCCACCCCTTGCCCTTCACCTCGCCCAGGCACTCCATACACCCGGCCACATGCCCGCACGGCACACACACCGCCTCAGCCTGCGCATCCCAGCAGATCACACATTGGCCGCCCCCCGTGCCAACGTTACTCTCCGCACGCTTCAACTCCGCTTGCACGCGCGCCGGGTCGTACGACGGGTGTAGCTCCACCTTGGGCGATGCTGGTGGCGCTGCTGCCGCTCCTGCTGCTCCTGCCGCTCCTGCAGCGGTTTCTGCAACTGCCACTGCTGATGCTGGAAGTCCGTAGTCCACCAAAACCGGGGTGGTGTCAATGGACGGGTAAGCGAGAGGCGACGTGGCAAGAGTGGGCGAGAGAGGAGGAGCAGAGGGGGCCGTGTCTGCAGCAGCGCGGGGAGAGGGCATGGGGATAGGGGCAGACGAAGCAGTGGCAACCGGTAGCGGCTGGTACTGCCCTTGCTGCACCAGAACCGGTGCTGCTGATGCCGCTGCTGCTGCTGCTGCTGCTGATGCTGCTGCTGGAGTTGCGGGTGGTGCTGCTGAGGCAGTTTGAGGAGGGGGAGCGCGATTTGGGGCAGGAGATTCATTAGCAGGACCCCAGCCACCGAAGCTATCTGCGTTGCTGCTCGAGGAACCCCAATCCGAAGCACCAACACCAGCAGCAGTACCGGCACCAGCACCAGCACCAGCACCGGTACCAGCACCGGCACCGTCGCCAACACTGCTTCCCATGGACCGATCACCGCTGCGGGAACCAGTCGACACACTCGCACCAACAGTAGCTGATGCTGCTGTTGCTGCAGCAGCAGCGGCAGCGGGAGAGAAGGGATGAGGGTGATTGGAAGTGGAGGGCCCAGAGTCCCAGCCACCATATGCTGTGGGAGGCGGGGGGGCAGCATCCCATCCACCCATGTCTGATCCAGCAGTGGCACTGGGACCGCTGCCAGCAGCTGACTGACGGCTGCTGTCTCGTTGACTCCCCTGCTGCTGCTGCTGTCCCGAGGGTGGCCGCACCTGGCGCTGTGGAAGGCGGGATGAATGGGCGAGTGGGTCGAAGGGAAGTGGGGTGGAAGGGAATGGGTTGAAGGGAAGCTGGGTGAAGTGAAGTGGGGTGATTGAAGCGAAGTGATGTGGTTGAAGCAAGTGGGTGGAAGGGGTGGAAGGAATCAAGGGAACACGAGAAGCACAGAATCATGTGCGAGGAGCAGGATGAGCAGGATGCGTGCATGCATGCCAGGAAGTAAGGAAGAGAAAAGAAAGAGGGCAGGTAGGGAGATGGATGCACACGAGTGCAAAGGGATGCACACGAGTGCAAAGGGGTGCACAGGGGTGCACAGAGGTGCACATGTGTGCACATAGGTGTGCTTACCTGAGGAATGCCTTGGCAGGCGTTGTAGAGCTTCTGCATCTGCCCCGGCTCTCGAGAGTCCTTGTCCGCTGAAAACTTGTACTTCTCAGCTGCTCTCCCCACTCACATGCGGATCATTGGGAGGGGTGGGAGGGAGAGAGGGAGGGAGGGAGGGAGGGAGGGAGGGAGGGAGGGAGGGAGGGAGGGAGGGAGGGAGGGAGGGAGGGAGGGAGGGAGGGAGGGAGGGAGGGAGGGAGGGAGGGAGGGAGGGAAGGAGGAAGGGAGGGAGGGAGGGAGGAAGGGAGGAGGGAGGGAGGGAGGGAGGGAGGGAGGGAGGAAGGAGGAAGGGAGGGAGGGAGGGAGGGAGGGAGGGAGGGAGGGAGGGAGGGAGGGAGGGAGGGAGGGAGGGAGGGAGGGAGGGAGGGAGGGAGGGAGGGAGGGAGGGAGGGAGGGAGGGAGGGAGGGAGGGAGAGAAAACCAGTGAGGAAACAGACAACAGAGACTGGGATGAGAACCAACGCATTTCGTATTTTACCATTCGTCCACGCACCCCTATGCGCCCCAATGCACTCTCCTGCACCCCACTGCACCCATCCACATCCCCCTGCATCCCCTCACACCCCTGTGCACGCACGCACCTCTCTGCATGTCCTCTATAACGAGCACAGGGTCGTGCGTGTCCTGCTTGGTAAGGTACACACGGCAGTGGTGCAGCAACACCTCCGTTGCCGTGGGGGCCTGCAGAACAGGATTTGAAAGAGCGAGAGGGAGTGAGACCAGGGACGGAAAAAAGAAAGGATGAAGGATGCTTGGTATGGTACACACAGCAGTGGTGTAGCAACACCTCCGTTGCCGTGGGGGCCTGCAGAAAGAATGAGGCGAGAGAGTGAGACCAGGAAGGAAAAAAGGGGTGAGTGGGGAGGAGAGGAGGGGGAGGTGGTGGATGCTTGGTGACGTGCACGTGTAACAGCCCCTCCGTTGCCATGGGGGCCTGCAGAAAAGAATGGGGCGAGAGGAAAAAAGGGGTGGGTGGGAGGAGAGGAGGGGGAGGTGGTGGATGTTTGGTGAGGGACACGTGGCAGTAGAGTAACAGCCCCCCCGTTGCCATGGGAGCCTGCGGCACAGAATGGGGACGGAAAAAGGAAGGGGTGAAGGAGGAGGGGAACGGGAGGTTTGTGGGTGCTGGGGACCACACACATGGCAGTGGTGTTGCAAAGCGAGTGTTGCCGTGGGGGCCTGCGGAACAGAATGGGGACCGAGAGTGAGCAGGAGCAGGGACGGATGGGGAAGATAGATTGAAGACTTCAGACAATGAGAAGCAGAAGTATGAGATGGTGACTGGAGGGTTGCTGGAGAGGCCCGGGGGCCCAAGAGCGCACGAGGTGCAAGCGCAGCAGGTGAAGTAGCACATTTGCTTCCGCAAGCGCAAGCACAAGACCCGAGGACCGGAAAAGGTACGGGCAAATGGAGCTGAGCAGGCCAGCATGCATTGAGACAAACGGTATTTGTGTTCCCCTGGATCAGCCATCCTGGGTAGCATATGTCACCCATCCATGCTCCACATGCAATCCATCCATGGCCCATCTATGAACCATCCTTGAACTATCCATGTGACCCATCTCGGACCCATCTATAACCCATCCATGCCCCATCCATCCTACCTACCGACGGCGAAGCATAGATGTTGAGTCGCTGCCGTGCGTTGGTGCCTTGGGATCCCGGCACCACTGCCACCCACCTGCCACCATGCATGCACCACATGGGGGAGCACATAGGTGGAGCAGCTGGACACAGAACAACCCAGAAAGGGATTGTCATGCAAGAGCAAGAGACGGGCATGAAAAGAGGGTGGATGAAGAGCAGGGAATTCGGTCGGAAGCAAACTGAGAGGGTAGGTAGGTAGCGAGCAATAACAATGAGAAAACGGCTTGCAAGAGACAAGGCACAAGTAGTAAGAGTGGCGAGGCGCTTACACTTTCTTGGAGACCCACTGAGGCACGAGCGCCTGCAAGAAGGCTGGCCCGGACAGCTGCTGCTGGCGCACAAAGCCAACGTATAGCGCCACACGGTTCTGTGCGGTGGAGGGGTGTGCAGTGGGGGGGTGTGCGGTAGAGGGTGCACGGCGGCATGTGGAGTGAGAAACACATGGGCAGATCATTCTGCAGCATGCGTGCGCCAGCATCAGAAACTGCCATGTCCTCCTATCTTTTGAGAACTCTCAAAGGATGCTCCTCCTCCTCCCCATCACGCGCATCCACCTCCACATCCAGCCCCACCCCTAACTAACTCTTCCCTTCCCAACGCCCCATCCCCAACTCACACTTCCCGCAACCATCCCCCCCTTCCTCTTTCCCCCTTCCCCTCGCCCCTCTCCGCCTGCGCGCCAGCTGAGCGCGCACCTCTATAATGCACGCCATGACGGGGTGTTAATGCTTTTCGGAAATTTGTCAAATAGAGTGCACCGTAGTACCGTACCTCTATAGTGCACTGCAAGGTAGGGTGGAGCGGGGTAGTGCTGCTCCCGACAAACCTCAAGATTGAAACGCACTGTGATAACGTGCGCCCGCAGCCCGCCATCCCATCCATCCATCCATCCATCCATCCATCCATCCATCCATCCATCCATCCATCCATGGTGGGGCAGGGCAATGCTGCTTTTGGGAGCTTTTGGGAACTTTTGGGAGCTCTCTAAACCATAGTGCAAGCAAGCAACGCAGAGGTTTTTTAGTCGACTCGAATCGAAGCAAGCACCGCACCGCACCCACCTCTATGATGCGCGCCATAGTGGGGCGGTGCTGCTCCCACGCTATGTCCAGCGCACGCCTGCCTATGTCGTTGGTGCGCAGAGGATCCGCTGAGCGGCGCAACGGGGCACGCGGAAATGGGGGGAGGCACGGGAGGAGTTTTGAGACATCTCAAAAGCCGCTATTATGTCCAGCGCACGCCTGCCTATGTCGTTGCGGCGCAGAGGATCCGCTGAGTGGCGCAGTGGGACACGCGGAGTCAGGGGGAGGGGGGGAGAGGAGAGGAGAAGAGAAGCGAGAAGACGGGGAGGAAGGGAGGGGAGGGGAGGGGAGGGGAGGGGAGGGGAGGGGAGGGGAGGGGAAGGGGAGGGGAAGGGAGGGGAGAAGATAGGAAAGGAGCACAGGGCCAAGGAAAAGGGGGAGACGGAAGTGGGAAGGTGTGAGAGAGGAGGAAGGAAGAAAGGGATTAGTGAAGGAAGGAGGGAGAAGGCGCGTGCAAAGGGAGGAGAAGGCGCGTGCAAAGGGAGGAGAACGTCGCAGAGAAGGGGGGGGTGAGGGGCAGGGGGCAGCAAAGGAGGATGGATTGTCCCAGAAAGAGCCGGAAACGTTTTGAGACGTCTCAAAACACTACTTTTATCAAGGGAGTGAGGGGGGCAGCAAAGGAGGATGGATCGTCCCAGAAAGAGCCGGAAACGTTTTGAGACGTCTCAAAACACTACTTTTATCAAGGGAGTGAGGGGGGCAGCAAAGGAGGATGGATCGTCCCAGAAAGAGCCGGAAACGTAACGTGGGATCATCCCCACCCCACCTTTCCCTCCTTGCCCCCCGTCTTCCCTCTTTTCCCCCCCCTCCTCCCCTGTCCGTCCGCCTTCCCCACCCACCTCCATAGTCCAGCAGAAGCTGCACTGTTCCTCACCAACTGGTGGACGGCACGTCTCAAAAAAAGAAAAAAAACTTCCTTCTCCCTCCACCCCCGGCCCATCCTCCTCCCCCCACCCAACCACCTCCATAGTCCAGCAGAAGCTGCACTGTCTGATCCAGGCCCTTCCTCGCCGCCTGGTGGATGGCTGTTCCGCCCTGCGCCCCTGCTTGGGGGAAAGGGAGGGGGGAAGAAGGGCGCGGGAGGTGCAGAGGAAGGGAGCGACGCGGAGGGGACGGGAGCGGGGGGGAGGAGAGGGGAAGGGGAGTGGGAGGGACATACGATATCAGCAAAGGTAAGAGGCAGGCAGGCAGGAATGCAGAAGAGAGGGCAACGACGAGGGAAACGTGTTGCAGGCGGGCAAAGAGGGGTGGGGAAGAAGGGAGGGGAGGGGAGGGAGCTGAGGGGAAAGGGGGGAAGAGGGGGGAGTAGGAATTAGAGCAGAGGGGAAGCAGATGAGTTAGTGATAATAGAAGCGCTCAGGGTCGATTAAAGACATCAGCGACGCTCGTGATATGGCGTATCCTGCGTGGTGCACGACATAGCATTTGCCCGCGAGTGACGACACAGAAGCGCCATTGACGCCGTTCAAAGCGCGCGCTACTTCCGATCCGCCATAAACGTTGATGACAAAAAAAGCGGTGGGCGATCAGAGGCGTTAGGCGGAGGAGGACGCGTCAGGAATCAGTAGCGGAGCGGGAGATGTTGCAGGGTGTTTTCGAGTTTGAAAAATCCCAAAAACCCCCAGCAACAATCGGAGGGCGTCAGGCGGAAGACGCGTCAGGAATCAATAGCGGGTGACTCGCCTCGGACGTAAGCGTTGACGTCAGCACCCAGCTGAAGCAGGAGGCGTGCGACAGGAAGCATGTCCGCGCGACTGCATGCGATGATGAGCGACGTGCGACCGTGGCTGTCTCGCCACTGCGGCAAGAAAATCGGGGGAACGGATTCGGACGATAGGGAAAAAGTAGGAGGATAGCGGAGATTAAGCGATTAACTAGGCCGACAGAGTGGAGAAGACGCACACGCAGCCGTTGATAATCCTTGATGTTTATATATATTTCACAGCGTCAATAATTCATATCTCCGCCAAAGAAGGAAATATCTCTGCTGGTCACTGTTGGAATCATTACTCTACATTCCAAAAACTAGCGACGCTTCGTTTCCAATATTACTGAAGAACCCGCCTCCGTTGCAACCAATGTTTCCGTCAGGCTCGCTTATTGTACCTCCAGACCCACGCCTTCCTGCCGGAGACGCTTTATTCCGCTAACATCCGCTCTCTGTGTCGCTTGATACACCATCTCCTCTCGCGACACGCCCTGACCCATGGGAACGGCGACGTTGACAGCGAGCACAGTCTTTACTGATGACCGGAACACACGCAATCCCAAGATTCAAAATGGAGGCAGCGACGGGGAAACGAGGGCGATGCGGGAGTAATATCTTCGGTCCTTGAACACACGCAAGGTAAGGAATGAAATAGGTGCATTTGTTTTTTAGCACTTCTGAAAGAGCACTTCTGTTGATGTGTGCAGCACTCGACAGACAGCTGTTATTTCTGCGCTGTACTTTTTTATTGGTCCAGCACGGTCCGGTAATTTTCAGAAGGCTTCAATGTGGTTCATTACGGTGAAAGCCACATCACATGAAAAGCTACATTCCAAACAGGAGAGTTGTGATTGGCTGTGTGCGTGCTGCAACGAAACGGACGGTTGCCGTGGCGTGACTGCTGAAGCCATGTCCATGCGCGCCACAAGCAATTTCCTTAAAACAAACTTGATAGTGAATTCAAAATGACGAGTGATAGTTTCACACATTTCCTATTAGACAGCACAAGCTACACGCACACAACATAATAGCCCAGAACACATCTTCCCTAATTGAAAGCACAAGCTACACGCAAACATACAATAGCCCAAAAATACCACACAATGCCCAAACATAATGCTACAAAGCAGACGGACAAGCTTAGCCTGGCTCTCTGAAACGCACTATTCTTTCTTTCCACGCAGCGACGAAACCAACAAAAACTCAACCAAACTGGCCTTATCCGCTTCCAACACCTGCACTTGGCCTTTTAGCTCCGATATAAGTTCCAATGCCTGCCCAAGAACTGCCTCCATAGTCATCCGCGACTGCCCCTGCGGCAACACCTGCTTCAGCTGCTGCAGCCGCACACTGCAGAGTGTAGAGAAAAGGGGGTCGGATGGGTATAGGTAGCGTGGATTAGATGAACAGGAAAAGGAAACAGAAAGGCACGGGGCGAAGTGCTGAACACAAGCGGAGAATCTATAAGTATGGCAGCAGAAACAGCACTAGAGCCACTGTTTCCATACCTGATCCCATTGCGCCGCTTCCTCTCTGCCACACTCCTCGGCTGCTTGGGGCCTCCGCGGCCAACCATCCCAGATCGAGGCACGGGCGGGAATCCACTCTGCTGCATGTTCATCTCCCCCCCCAGCTGCTGCTGCAACAGCTGTGATGACGGCGACGACTGGAATGCAAGCTGCTGCTGCTCCTGATTATAAGTACCCTGAAAGTCCGCGAAAAACGGAAATTGATGATGCTGCTGCTGTTGCTGCTGCTGCAACCCCCCCCTGAACACTTCTACAGGCTCCTCTAAGTCACTGTTCTCGCCTGAGCTTTCCTCCCAGGACACTTCACCGGCCTGTAAATCAGGCAGAAACGGTGCATATGGAAACAACAGAGCACACGGTTGTAAGCAATCAGAATCAGGCGACGTGAGCTTTGAAAGGCATCAGAACCAGATACACCGCTGCTAGACAAAGGATAGCGGAGCGAACCAGAGGCCAAAAAAACGAAGGGTAGAATCTGTGAAATCGCACCTTGAAATCATCTGCCACCGAGGCCACCTGCTCTGATTTCTTCCCAAGTCCTCCGGACCATTTACGAACCATCTCCAACCGGCCCAGCCCTTCTCCCATCCCTCCGGCTCTAACCAACCCTTCGCACGCCGTTCCCCTCGCCCGCTTTGCCAGTGGCTCTTCAGGGCGATCGTGAGACCAGCCGCCCCCTATTGATTCGCCCACTTCCCACTCCCCTTGCCCCACAGCGTGCCCCATATCCGGGACAGGCGGTCTGGACGGCGCGAGGCTTGTCCGCGCACCGGCCGCGGGCAGCTCCGCGGGGAGATGCGCCGGCGGGTGCGCGGCGGGATGAGCGGGGGAGTGCACAACAAGTGCGGGGAACACGGTGTGCGCGCCAGACGGGGTCAGCGCGGCGGGGAGAGCATTCTGCGCGGGGAGGAAGGCAGCAGGCGCGGGGGAAGCGAGAGGTGTGGATGGCGGAAAGGTAGCGCCGTGCGCGGGACCGTTTGGGGGTAGTGCGGATTGCGCATGCGGGAAAAGGCCAAGAGTATGGACGTTAGATGCGGAACCGCGGAAATCTCCAGATCCCAGTCCCGCCCAAGCCTGCAGCGCCTGCTGCTGCTGCTGCTGCTGCTGCTGCTGTTCTACCTGCTGCTGCTGGAAGTCTTGGTGAATCACATAGCCCTGCTGCTGATGGGTACCGTGAACATCGTATACAGGTTGCGGTGCTGCTGGCACCGAAAAGAAATCTGCGGCTTCAACGCCAGTCCGTGTCCCGGACCCAGTCCCAACGTCCACGCCCGTTGTTACTAGCCCCGGGGGCGCAGCCGTTGGTTCTGCTGCGAAAGCGGCGGAGGCGGGGACACACGGTGAGGGGTTGAAAGAAGCACTGCTTCCCCTCTGAAGCAAGTGCGCGAGAAACGAATTCTGCACCAACGGCTGCTGCTGCTGCTGCTGCTGCTCCTGCTGTCGCAGCAGCAGCTGAGTCGACTGCTGGAGTTGATTCTGCGTGATACCAGGGAGCACTTCCCTTGTTCCACAACCGTCCATGGCGTTCCGGTTCCTCTCGAAAACAGCTCTCTGCAACGAAAGAGCGCCGTGATAGCCAGGCTGTTTCGCCGTGCCGGAACGCCCCTGACTTGTTCCAAGAACGTCACCCGCGTATACACCAATACAGCCGCCGCCCCCTCCCGTCGCACCCCCGTACACCGTACCCCCACCCCCATCACCCCCACAGAATCCCTCGCCTCTTCCGTCCCTACCAAAGAATCCCTCAGGGTTGTCACCAGCAAGTCTAAAACCAGCCGCTGCTGCTGATGCCTGATCGCTGCGTCCGTGCCCCGCCGCTACTAGATCCGCTGCCGCCGCCGCCGCCGCCGCTGCCGCTGTTGCTGCAGCCCAGACTTCGAGCGGATTAAGAGCGGGCAAAACGGGGCGATCAGACGGAAGGGATGGAAGGGAAGGAAGGCCGGCGCGGAGAGAGTTAAGGAGGCACGCAGCGAGGGGCGCATGGGCGGAGGACATGTGAAGGGGGTTGGGTTGGGAAGGGATCTGCAGCGGGCTTTGACGCGGAATTTGCGGCTGGTTTTGAGGAGAAGTGAAGCGGAAGGGTGCGGGGGGATGTGCGTGGGGCGACGGCCCGTCGGCGTGAGCCGGCGACGCAGCGGCAGTTGCGGGGAGTGTCGCGGAAACGGTACCTGCTTGTCTGTCCTCCTTACGCGTGAGATGCTCTAGGGCGAAGGTGTGGGGAGACGCTGGGAGGGATTGCTGGACGGACGTGACAGTAGCGGCAGTGCCTACAGCGGGGGCACATGAGTCAAACGCGGGAACGGAGGCACGAAAACCTTCGAGATTGTCGAGGGGAAGCGGTGACGCGTATTGGGGGAAGTGCGCGGTGGGATCCGTCGGGGCTGGGGGTCCAGTGTGGGGGAACGCAAAGGCGGAAGGCTTATGCGAAGACGGCGGGAGAAGTGACGGCGCGGGGTGCGGAGAGAGTGCGAGCGTGGCGGAAGGATGCGCGCACTGGTCCCATCTCGCTAGCGGTGCAGGGGAGGAGGAGACGAACTGAAGGAAAGGCTGCGCGTACGGTTGCTGCGGAGCGGCCATGTGTACAGGCGAATCTGAAATAAGATGAGGATGGAAAGCAAGCGAAATTCGACAAAAGAGCAAAGGGCTAGGAATCGCGAGGGAAAAGACGGAACGATGAATCTATCTAGCTCTGTTGGTGTCTTGAGAGTTAACCTCCCAAGGTTTCCGCGACGGTGCTTAAACGCAAATTAACTATACAGACGCTACTTCCGATAGCTCAAACGCTGTCCTAACATAGTACGAAACCTTGGACATAGGATCATTCAGGATGGGCTGGAAGGGCAGTGAGGAAGGTGGAGGAGCAGCAGCGGTGTTCGGCGCTCCATAAAAGGGAATGTCCATGGCATGGGAGGGAAGCGAAAGTTGCGAGGCTAGCAGTGTCGTTGCAAAGCCGAATCTCCCCTTTCCTCCAATGGTGGCATTGATGCCATTTGTGAAGGAAAACCGCTAAGTCCGTTAGGAAAGGGACAAGGGAAAGAAAATGGAGGACGCAGCCGAGTGGGGACGGTAGGAAGGCAGATCCTCTGTGTCACCATGACTGCAAGAGATGTAGAATGGGAGGGAGGGAATCATGCGATATGGGATGGGAGGGATGGGATGGGATGGGCATGGTGGAATGATGTATGCATGTGTATGGTGGTGGATGCTCGCACATGATGGTCATATCGCATTGCTGTTGTGATTGTGAACTGTCGTTGGTCTCATGACTGACAGCAATTGCGGTTTCCAACACGGCTTCCAAGTCATGCGTCCTTCAGACGGGCAAAACAATGTGGAAACTCCGCCAACATAGACTGCATTGCCACCACCCTCCCATCGACCAGGTCGACCAGACCCAACCCAATCTTGCTGGGTCGCAACACGTGGTTAGGGTCCTTCGGAGCAGAGCTGGAAAAATTGGTGCATATTACAGTTACGCATGCTTTCAATAGTGTACGGTCCTTACAAAAAAAAAAAAGCAGTGAAGCTGGTGCAGCAGTCGGATCTACTTCCTCACTGTATGGATCGTTGACAATGGGCCAGTCCTAGAACCTCTCCTGAGGGTTTGCTTGCAATGTACACCCTCATTCTCAGTCTTCTCACCGGCGGAAGCAGTGGCTACAGTGTTTGGACGTAGCGGGCTGGTGAGATAACTCGGTTGCGGTCCAAGTCGCACGAGGCGACGAAACCAGACTTGGGCCGTAAAATTCCGTTAACGCTGAATAACTGTCTTAACCGTTTAGAAAACAGCATTACCATTTTAGAACGTATAGAACCTTGACTAAACGCCCTGGGTCAAACTGTCAGTATAACGCATGTGATAGGACCTTCTTTGGTCCGCTGCGGCTACACTAAGCGTCCCGGTCAGTATAACATATGCCAGTCTAACGAGAATGAGGGTGTATTCCGACTGTTGTTCCTCAGCCAGTGATGACGCCGTCGGACGAAAGGCCAATGGAATGGACATTGAATGGGTGCTCTTCCATTCATTCCGTTACCAGATACATATGGTACCAGATGAGGCAGAAGGTGATGATGCAATCCAGTCCAGCGTCACAGAACAGAACACCAACCCAGGGCCGATTCAAGTGGGCCGCACTCTCTCTCCAGTAGGGTTGATTCGTTCGCCAAGGAAATGCCGATGCATTGCTGTTTTGAAGTTTGCATGGTGGACTTTTCCAACGCCGCATCGTCTCCCCCCATGCGTTTACTGTATGGGTCCGTCCCACATGAAGTGGCTGTGTGCCCAAGAGAGGACGAATGCGTTCTTGCAAAATTTTATTCATCGCAACATTTTCGAATTGAGCGCCTCTTCAGTTGAAACCTTTCAGTCCCATCCCATCTGGTTTCCCGCGGTGTAAACAGAGGGGTTGGGTTGGGTATATATGGTCACGTACCTGTTCTGACAGGCGACCTCCGGCATTGGTTGTCATAACCACCACCACATGAAGTGGCATTGCCTGTGTGTCCAGACCACATCAATGGTTCCTCCCATCAATCCCGTTGTGTACAGTGGCAAGCACATCAGCCAGATATTCGGTTAGCCAACACACCTTGACAGTTGGCGAGGCTCTGTACTGAAGTCTTTCTTCTTGTCCGGAAACGGGCAGGTGACCGACAACAATGAAGCTTCAGTTGCAAAGCGATGTGGACCACCGTGCTTGCGCCAAAATATGAAAGCTGACCAATGGTATGCACTTGCGCCAAATCCAGGAAACTTCCAGATGTTTCCCAACAACGTCACATGAGTTTCTAGACGCAGCTGGACAAAACTGGTATTACACGTATCACTCGTTTGTCAAAATAATATCACATTGCAAGCTGCAAGCCACCAATAAACAAATCCGTGCTCTTTAGTCGAGCAGGGTACTCTTACTCAAAATACATTATTGGCACGCACTTTCATATCTTAAGCCGTGATTTGTAGAGATGCGGGACCAGAATTCGCGATTTAGTATCGTAGATAAAGCTGGTATTTCTTTCGTTATGTTTAAAATTTTATGCCTGTAATAATTGTTTTGTCAACGTGAGTTTGCCCCCTCCATATGTATCCGTCAACCTTAATAAGATATAACAAACTGTACGGATCGGGTCTTTATGATCCATCCTTTGGGTAATTGACCCGCAGGGGGGGGGGGGGGGGGGGGGGGTCAATTCTATCCCGAAAGAGAAATGGGGTGGTGATATTTATTGGGCGTAAATTTGATATGTCTAGCATCTAATGTTCTGCGCATTTGTTTATTCTGAATCATATTAAATGCTGGTACTACCGCACTAGATGCTAACATTTCATTGTCCCATTAATAATATATTGATCATGCGCCGAATGTATAGGACGCTGCTGGAAGGAGGCAACTTAGATCGAATGCATCATACCAGTACTACAACAAGGCGGCCTACTAGCATTACAGCCGTAGTTTGAGAAGAAATGAGGAATGAATGAACTAGCAAGCAGGCAGGTACGAGTAGGAAAACCTAAAAGTGTTGTACCCCATATTGTCTACCCTACTACAGCCTACACAGACTATAGCATATGAGTTTGACACACCCCCATAGGCAAAGAAGGGGAGAACAAGCGGTCACAAGACCAGTCAAGTAAAGCAAAACAAGCTCAGGGTGGATCACAACGTCACCACACAGTCTGAGCACAAGTTCAAGGCCACAAGGCCAGTTCATATGCAAGATGATATATAAAGGTAGACAACCAAGTGCAGGTGTAGAAAGGTCACAGTACAAGCAAGGTCAAGAAGTGAGCAAGTGAGGCCAAGTAGGCACAAGACCTAGCATCGTACAGAAGCGCTGATGATCACAAGGCGGAAGCGCCTTGGTAAAGATATCAGCAGTGTTGGCCTCAGAGGCCACGTAAGCAAGGCGCAGCTGACCACACTACTGAAGCTCACGAGCAAGGAAGTAGCGAAGAGCGACGTGCTTCGTCTTGTGCTCCAGTCTGTGCTCCCGACACAAGGCCAGCATGGCCTTGTTGTCTACGTACAGAACTGGAAGAGAACGAGGCGGCTCTCCTAGGTCAGTCAGGAGGTAGGTGAGCCAGCGTAGCTCCTGTGCAGCCATGGCCCCCGCGTAGATCTCAGCCTCACAACTGGAGCCGAGAACAGAAGACGAGCGGGTAGACCGCCACGAAACAGAGCCGGAACCAAGGCTAAAGGTGTAACCCTGTGACGACCGCTGCGTAGCCTGGTCGTCAGCCCAAGAAGCATCTGCGTGACCTGTGAGGACCACTGAACATCGCCCTCCAAGCACAAGCCCCATGCCCGACGTACTGCACAAGTAGTGCAACACCCTCTTAGCTGCAGCCATGTGCTCTGGTCGGTGTATCCCAGGAGCAACATAGCGGGCCAAGATGCTAAGAGGGTATGCAAGGTCAGGCTGTGTGCAGGTCATCAGGTACATGAGGCAGCCAACAAGCTCTGGATACGGGCCACTCGGCTCTACGGACTCATCCGAAGGCAGATCTGAGAGCGAGTGGCTAGTAGACAGAGGAGTGGCCTGAGGCGAGGAGTACGTGAAGTCCAAGCGCTGAAGGACCTGCTGCATCATGTGTGACTGAGTCAGGGTAATGGTGCGTTGTGCTCTGTCCCGGGTGATCTGCAAGCCAAGGTAGCTGCGCAGTTCACCCAGGTCTGTGCACGTGTGTCTCTTCTGCAGCTCGGACTTCACGTGGGCGAGTCCAGCAGTGTCAGCTGTGGCAAAGACCAAGTCGTCGACGTACAGGAGGATGTAGAACGGCGGCAAAGAGGTGTCGGTGCGCAGAAACAGCGACAGGTCGGCAGTAGAAGGAGCAAAGCCAAGAGCCGCAAGTGTAGTCCTCAGTGTGTCGTGCCACTCACGGGGCGCCTGGCGGAGACCGTAGACTGGCCACCGGAGGCTCCACTAGGTACCAGGGGGAAACGACCCAGTGAAGCCAGGTGGGCAGCGCAGCCAGATCTCCTCGTGCAGGCTGCCCTGCAGGAAAGCTGTGCTGAAGTCAAGAGAGTGAAGCTCGTAGTCGCGCTGAGCGGCTATGTGCAGCAACACCCGAAGAGTGGTCATCTTCGGGGTGGGAAAGAAAGTCTGAAAGTAGTCAACTCCCTGCCGCTAACTGAAGCCTCGAGCCACGTAACGCGCCTTGAAGACAGGCGGAGAACCCGGCAGCCGCTTCACCCTGAAAATCCACATGCCACTGATGATGTTCGCCCCAGGTGGGGGAACCTCGTCAACGTAGGTGCCTGTGGACTTCCAGGAAGCCATCTCTGCGTCCATGGCTGACTGCCACTGTGAGGAGTAGGGACCCTCGATCGCCTCAGCGTACAATCGAGGAGTCGGGATGCCTGGTGCATCCGGGTCTCCCTCAGGGGCAATCAGCGTGGACACGAGACGAGGCAAAGCAGCAGCAAAATACTGGAACTCCTCCTGCCTGTCCTCAAGGACGTCCGTGCTAAGAGCACACTCACCCCCGACGGACGGAGGACAGACAGACTCAAAATCAGCAACAAGACTAGCAGCGTAGTCTAGACGACAGCGAGCAGCAAAGTCGACAAGCT